AGTTTGGGCTGTGGCTGTGGTGGGGAGGCCCTTAATATTCAGCTTCATGTCATACCCTCTCCAGTTTGCCACCGAGGACACACACACACACACACACACACACACTGGAAATTAGGAGGCATTTTTATTTTTATAATTACATTTATTTTAGGGGAGGGGCATGCCGTGGCACTTGGGTGGAGACCAGAGGATAACTTGTAGTGTGGGTTCTGTCCTACACTAGGTTCTGGGGAGCAAACTCAGGTCATCAGGCTTGGCAAGCAGGTACCTTTAACCATTGAGCCATCTCACTGGCTGGGGCATTTTTAAAAGACATGGAGTAAAGACTTTCTAATTTCCACAAATCCTTCAAGTTTAAGAGACTAATGATTATTTTTTAATCATACTGATAAGAGAAAATACTTTTTCAGCTGTCAGAACCACCCAGCTTCCTTGGTTGAGGACCCCCAGTTGCTCTGCCTACCACGGGTAAGGCAGAGTCTGAAGTGCCACAGTGCTTGCTCTCTACTGGGTCTGTGGCTCCACCGCAGAGAAGTGAGAAGCCACACTCACAGGAAAATGAAACATTTGACTACATATTCTAAAGCTCGATTGTATGGTGACAGCATGCACAAGACCCATGCAAACTCAGACAAAAACCAGCATGGAGCTGGGGAAATGGGCAGCAGGCCCAACCCTAGCTGAGGAACTATTAGCAGCTGATCACTGCTGGGTGAGAGAGAGAGTAGATCTTTATGGAAGTGACTCTAGATAGGCTGACCAGACTCCAGTAGATGAACTCATACCGAGGGACATCTAGGTACACTAACTTGACTGGATAGGCCTTAGCATCTGTGACAGAATGCACGAAATCCTGTGGGTGTGCTATGGGGGATGCAGATGGGGGGGCTCTAAATATGATTAAGATTGTATGAAATGCACAAAAATTCAATAAAAATATACATTGAAAAAATTGTATATAACAGTAATTTGTAAAATCATTATAGGCAGTTCCTCTCAGTGTGGTGTGTGCCTGTGTGCACACGTGTGGGTGTTCACTTGCCCAAGTGTTTGTATGTGGAGGCCAGAAGCACACATCAGTGGGGTGCCTTCCTTGATCACTCTCCATCTTACTTTTTGAGACAGGGTTTCTCACTGAACCTGGAGCTGGCTGCTTTAGCTAGACTACCCTTGACTGGACTTCCCTGTTTCTGCCCCTTCTCTGGGGTTACAGTACTGTGCCTGACTTTTACATGTGTCCTGGGCAATCTAAACTCGGCTCAAGTTTGCACAGTACCCACTATGCCAAATGCAGCCCCACTGATAATGTGGAAGCTTGACAAAGTGGGATGATGTGGGAGAGTATCTCGTGACCCATGGAATCTTGACAGAAGTCAGCTCTTAGGCTGAGCTTTAGTGGTGACTGCCTGTAGGCAGGAGAGGACATCAGGCTTGACCCTGTGGTTCCGTATAGAGAAGTTAAGGGGAGCACAGTAAGCCTTCCTGGGGGGTGGTCCCACGGTGAAGACTACTGTGGGAGTCTTTGATGTCACTGACCATTTATCTGAGGAAGGAGATGTAGCTGTCAGTACTATCACCAACTGGTGTAAATGAAGATGCCCGCACGAGAAAAATCAGTTCCCGGAGGAAATGATCCACTTGTCCTTTACCGTTGACTTTCAGGGGTCCAGTGGACCAGCCCATGTGGAGAAACAAAGTTGAAGTTGAGGAGCACATCGGTTGAGAGGAAGCTGGGATAATCAGTGATGTGCATTGAGGGCGGCAGCTCAGTTCCAACAACTGCCGGCAGCATAATAAGGTGTTCAAGGACGAAAGTCAAGAGGACTGAGAGCTCAACCCTGAGACCAGGCTGCACTTCTGCGGTAAGAAGAGGGGTGGACAGGAGAGAGAAAAGCCAGAGAGGACGGTGCAGCAGTGCCCTAGAGGGCACCCCGAGGAGGAAGGGGAGGGTTCCTTGGACTACTGATGTGGAGAAGTAGAGTGCGACCCCTGGAACACTGTCTCTGGAAGCAGTTTGTTAAGAGGGGATCTGAATGCAAACTTTTACATTTTGACTTTGGTGCTGAAAGGAAAGTGAGAGGAAACAGCAGGTTAAGCCAGGAAAGACTGATGACTCATAATTTAGTAAAGACTGCACTGAATGAGAGGTGCTGATTGAAAGGGTTCAAGTGCAAAGCTGGGCGTGGTGGCACACTCCTTTGATCTCAGCACTCGGGAGGCAAAGGTACATGGATCTCTGTGAAATGGGGGCCAACCTAGTCTACAGAGCAAGTTCCAGGCCAGCTGGGGCTACAGGAAGACTGTCTCAAAAAGCCAAAGCCAAAAAAAAAAAAAAACAGTTCAAGAGACCAGCTCTGGAAAGGAGTGTCCTCAACCAGAGGACAGACAGTGTGGGTCAAAGGCCTGATTCTCTCACAACATTTCAACTGCCTGCAAAATACAAGGTTCTAAGCTCCTTTAGAATATGGCAAGGACCAAGACGTGAAGATCAAGGTTTCAGTCTACAGCTACATGGAGGAAAAGACAGAAACAGGCAGAGCTTGGGGCTGAACACACCATCGACATCGAGCTTTGGCATACTCTCCACACCACAGTCACTAAAGCCAGGCACTGGTAGAGCCAACTTTATGGACCATTGTGAGGATGGAAGGCAGTATACAGAAACTGCTTAACAAGGCCAGTCAAAGCCTAAATACAGCTGACCCCATACGAGGTAGAAATGAAATGCCTAAAGAGAACTACAGGAGATGGGTTTGCTTGAGGTGGGGAAGGAAGATGGGAGCTGGGTTCCTACAGTCAGGAAGGGGTAGAGTCTAAGGACTGAGAAGGAAAGGGAATCTTGGGAGAGTGACAGGAGGGAGCAGCTTGAGCATAAAGGGAAATCAGGAAGATTTCAAGGCATCAGGAAACAGAGCTAAAAAAGCGGCTGGTTTAAAGTGGCTTCCAAGTGTTCCATTCCCTTTGCACCTGTCTCCTAGTGCCCTGGCAGAACTGCAGACCTAGTGGGCAAAGTTAGCCTTAGGATAGAATGCTGCTTGCTTCTCCCTCACTGCCCTGGTGATCATCTCCTTTTGTCTAGGATGGATGAAATGAGCCATCATTGTTATGTGTTTCATCCTCCACCCAACCACCAGCATCTTGGTCCTCTGCTCACTGGCCTACACTTGTGTAGAGAAACTCTTAACTCGGACTTTGCACTTTCTGTTGCCTTTTATCATATATTTGGATGCCCTTTTCCTTACGAAAAAACTCTGTGATGCTAGATTGGTTTGTGTAGGACCAGATGAGGGAGACAGTCATGTGGCCACAAAAAGCGCTCAGTTTTCAGTCAAGGATGTGCATGACCCTTATTCTTTCTTTCTTTGTTTTTTTACTACCTCTCATTTTCCCTTCAAATTTCTAATTTCCTAGTTTCTTTAAAAAATTTTTTATTTGATGTGCATGGTTAATGCCTTCATGTATGTAAGTGCACCCATGTCATGCAGTGCCTGAGGTGGCCAGAAGAGGATGTTAGATCCCCTAAAACTGGAGTTAGGGATGTTTGTTAGCTGCCATGTGGGTGCTGGGAACTGAACCTGGATTCTCGTCATGAGTAGCCAGTGCTCTTAACTGCTGAGTGTCTCTCCAGGCCCAGTTTCCTAGAGTCTTCAATTTAATGTTTGATTCATTTGTTTCCAATTGCTCTTTTTCTTTCTAATCAGTTAGATGTGCCCCTTTGTCCTCAGTGTTCTTCTCTGAACTGTTTTTTAACTAACTGCAGAAGCTTGTAAAGATCATCCTACTTGGTGATGGATCACCATAATTAGCCTTTCTCTGGGTATGTAACCAACATCCAGGTTCAGGACAGATTAATGTAAGTAGAGCCTTCCTCCATGCTCCCAAAAGTAACCACTGCTCTGACTTCAAACATGATTCTTTGTTTCATCTTGGTCTTTATGTAAATGCAATCAAGTAATCAGAATCCTCTTGAATTATACAATTTTGATACTGCTTTTATATTATCTGCTCCTGCATTTTTATGAAATGCTCATCCTCATAGCTCCATGGATTCTGCTTTATGAACACAGAGGGATGCACCTAACCACATTATTGTTGATGAACACAGAGGGATGAATCTAACCACATTATTGTTGATGAACACAGAGGGATGCACCTAACTACATTATTGTTGATGGGCACTGTGTTGTTTACAGAATTCAGTCACTGGAAATAACATTGGCATTCCTAGATCCACCACCAACCACACACATTCTGGACACATGATTCAATGTTAACACAGCACTGCACAAGCCTTCAGTTTCAGAAAGACTAGCCTAGAAGCTCCCAGAGTACTGTGGTGCTTCCCCTTCGATCCGGTAGGGCAGGGTGTCCTTGTGCTCCGTTTGGCAGCAGCACCGATGTTTGTACGGAGGCTCAGGCTCTGTGATAGCACTGTACAATTACTCGTTGAATTTTCATTTTTCTTAATCGTTCTAAACGTTTTCAATGTGCCTTCAGTTTCAGAAAGACTAGCCTAGAAGCTTCCAGAGTACTGTGGTGCTTCCCCTTCGATACGGTAGGGCAGGGTGTCCTTGTGCTCCGTTTGGCAGCAGCACCGATGTTTGTACGGAGGCTCAGGCTCTGTGATAGCACTGTACAATTACTCGTTGAATTTTCATTTTTCTTAATCGTTCTAAACGTTTTCAATGTGTGTTCTTTCAGATGGCATTTCAGTCACTTCCCTGACTAGTGCCTGATGCAGGTGTGTGGAATCCAATAAGGGCCCGGCTGAGGGGCAGAATCTGAGGTTCGGGCCCCTTCAGTATCTGCACAAAGCTGACACCGGGAGTGGCCCTCTTGGTTAGTCAAAGCCTGACAGACATCATCGTTTCACTGGCACAGAAGGTGGCTGTAACTCCTGCTGCTTCACAGCTACAGTGACTGATTTGTTAAAAAGGATTTCCTGCCTCCTGAACTCTAGAATATATCCACCCTGGGAGTTTTCTGCTTAAACTGAAGCGATGAAGTCCAAGTCCAACCGTGCTCCGAATCCGACCCGCAGCATCATGACATTCCCTCCAACCATGGAATTCTCAAATTTCAACAAGTACATTGCTTACATGGAGTCCCAGGGAGCTCACCGAGCAGGACTGGCCAAGGTCATTCCACCCAGGGGATGGAGAGCCCGGCAGTCCTATGACGACATCGGCCACATCGTAATCGCCTCCCCCCTGCAGCAGGTGGTCTCTGGCAGGGCAGGTGTGTTCACTCAACACAGTAAGAAAAAGAGACCCATGACCGTGGGGCAGTACCGCCACCTGGCCAACAGCAAAAAGCACCGCACCCCTGCACACCTGGACTTTGAAGATCTGGAGAGAAAGTACTGGAAAAACCGCCTCTATGTGCCACCCATATACGGAGCCGACGTCAGCGGGTCCCTGTTTGACGAGAACACCCAGCACTGGAACGTGGGGCACCTGGGAAGCGCTTTGGACCTGTTGAGGCAGGAGAGCCAGGTGGTGATCGAGGGCGTGAACACGCCCTACCTGTACTTCGGCATGTGGAAGGCCACGTTCGCGTGGCACACGGAGGACATGGACCTGTACAGCATCAACTACCTGCACTTCGGGGAGCCCAAGACGTGGTACGCGGTGCCCCCCGAGCACGGATGGCGCCTGGAGCGCCTGGCCAGGGACCTGTTCCCGGGCAGCTCCCGGGGCTGCCAGGCCTTCCTGAGGCACAAGGCGGCCCTCATCTCGCCCAGCGTGCTCAGGGAGAATGGCATCCCGTTCGGCCGCATGACGCAGGAGGCTGGCGAGTTCATGGTCACCTTTCCCTCGGGCTACCACGCCGGCTTCAATCACGGCTTCAACTGCGCAGAGGCCATCAACTTCGCCACCCCGCGCTGGGTCGACTATGGCAAAGTGGCGTCTCAGTGCAGCTGTGGGGAGGCCAGGGTCAGCTTCTCCATGGATGCCTTCGTGCGCATCCTGCAGCCCGAGCGCTATGAGCCGTGGAAGCGCGGCCAGGTCCAGGAAGTCGTGGACCACAGGAGACCACGGGCGCCTACCAGTAGGGAGCTCAAGACCTGGCGGCTGATCCAGGCACCCAACCAAGCTCCTCAGAGTCTGAGGCATCTCTGGCTTCATAGTGATGCACACCGTCCTCAGCCAGCAGCCACTAATAGTAAACCCCACTGCAACATCCAGCTGCGCAGTGGCCTCCGGCAACTTGCGGCTGCCAGAGACACTGCTTGTCTGTGCTGGCCCCTGACACGCAGCTCCCTGAAGCCTGACCCAGCCCCATCCCCATCACCCACCCTGGGTTCATCTGCTCCTGGCCACCACCTGTCAACTGGCAGATGTGGTCCTGGCCATTGGGCTTGTAGACTAAGAGTTCAGGAGCGCACTCTTAAGGCTTCAGCCAAGAGGCACCTCCCAGCAGGAATAGTGGCACAACCCTGAACCCTGAGCTTCTGCCCCAACCTGTGCATGGAGACAGGATGTCTGTCAACTGACAGATGTGGTCCTGGCCATTGGGCTTGTAGAATAAGAGTTCAGGAGCGCACTCTTAAGGCTCCAGCCAAGAGGCACCTCCCAGCAGGAATAGTGGCCACAACCCTGAACCCTGAGCTTCTGCCCCAACCTGTGCATGGAGACAGGATGTTCGACCCTGCATCTGTGAGCCCTGGCCCACAGCATCCTATCACAGCCTCTGCCGGCGACTTGACCTCTGACCGCTAATGGCCATGTTCTAACCTGCCTTAGGGCTCATGTTCTGTGGTTTGGAAGCTTGCCAAGAGTTTTGACTGAATTTGTAGGACATTGGTCATACTCAAGAGAGCCCTCCCTCAAGTATGTTTTCTAAATTTGCCATGCTGGCTTCCACTTTCCAGACCTTGGTGAGCCTCTGGACTCTGGTAACAGCCCAACTTTCAGCTGAAGTTTCATTGTTTGAACACGCTGAGTCTCTGAGAACTAAGCTCTGTTGAGGTTTCTCAAACCTGATCTCTCATCCTCTGGGCCAAGTGAAGACTCAATTTTTCTTCCCCATCTCCCACTTCTTGCTTGAAAAACGGGGCACTTTTGACCAGTAGGTTATAAGCCAGTTGGTTAATAGAGCCACAAAACAAAAACGAAGCCAAAGCCCGTAGGGTCTTTCAAAGTTATTGATGTATTAACAACATGTCTCACCCAGTATTTGTTCCCAAAAAAGGCAGCCAAAATGTTAAAATTATTTCCAATATAGTTTCAAATAATGAGGTGGTGTGTGGAAGTTATTCTTCTATGAACTTATTTCTTTCAAAACATTTAAAGGCCAAACACTTTGGGAAGCCAGGTTACACTGAGCAGTGACGGGGAGTGGGCTTGGGGTCTGTGTTGCTGGCTAAGGCATTTGATTTCAGCCATGCCCATGATGCGGCAGAGCAGCTGGCGGTCAGGGGAACCCATGCTGCTGAGGACCCATGAGCAAGCAGGGGGAGAAGCAGTGTCGCTCAACTACTCTTCCATCAAGTTAGACTTCTGAGAGCTGTAGGTATTTCATATTTATTCAGCCCAGTAAACAGGTTTGCAAATGAACAAGACCATTTCAGTTTATAATTGGTGCTGCTGAGGAGCTAGCGTACTAATACTGTTTTGTTGCTATGACAACCTCACAAAAGCAACTGCAGAGAGGAGAGGTTATTTGGGCTTACAGTTTCAGTTTTACAGTCCATTGTGGCTGGCAGGGAAGGCATAGCAGTGGGTGGTTTAAAAGTGATAGAGGTGTGTGAGGCAGAACCTTGCTCCCCCCTGAGTGGATCAGGAGGCAGAGACAGGACAGGAAGTGCACGCAATCTTTGTAAATCTCAAGTCCAGAAATTCATTTCTTCCAGTTAGGCCTGCCCTCCAGAGTCTACAGTTTCCCAAAACAGGACCAGCAGGTGGGACCACTTATATGCTCAAACATGCGAGCCCGTGGGAGACATTTTACAGTCAAACCATAACAAGTAGGATGGGATAGAGAGCAGAAAAGGTGCTGGTTTAGGGCCCTGGTCAGGGAAGCTGGAGGCTAGAAGCCCAGGATTCACAGGAGGGCAGTAGTCCTCCAGAGCAGCCGAAGCCCCAGTGGTCCTGGAAAGACAACGACACGTCTATGTGATGACAGAGAGCTTGAAGCTTTTTGTCCTTCAGTTAAGTCTTACTGCCTGGGCATGCGGTAGAAGGGTTCAGTCTACCCCTCTTCCCAGTGGGACCTACAACTGATGCAGGTTCAGTGCTGGGGCACACAGGATTGACTGTCTCTGCTCATCCAGGACCACTCTGCAGGGTTCAGTCTGCTTTGTTCCCTGCAGTACTGTGAGACCCGAGGCTGAACCTGGCTTAGCACGTCCCTCAGTTCAGACCTGCTGCCACTACCTCCCTTTCCCAGATGAGCCTTCTAAGTAAAAATCCCAATGCTCAGCCCTTAGTCTGCTCCCAGGATACCCGAGGTACAACAGTATTGTTAAGGTTCAGATAGCCCTGCCCCCTCACCAACAGGATCCCAAGGACTTCTCATGCTCCTGAGAAAAGGGAACCTAGCTGATAAGCACCTTGGTCTTTGAAGTCAAGAGAAGCAGACTTTCTCCACTGTTTGGCCAACACAGCAGGCTTCCCCTTTGATCTCTAAAGAGGACAGGTTTTAACAGTCCTGCTCTCCCACTTCCCCCCCAACTTTAAAAAAAAAAATACATCTTCCTGCCTTCTGCAGGAGGCAAAAGCCTCCCTTTTAAAAAGACCCCAACTCAAGACCCGGGCAGACATTTTCCCTGCTGGGAAGGGAATCTGTCCCATGTGTTCCTTTGCTAATAAACCCTATTTTGATGGAGTTTTATCTGTGTCCTGGTGCCTCCTCCTCCATTCGCTCGTTCTCCTCCAACATTTTACCTATCAAGTATTAACTGTTCAATATGGGGCACCTTTTTCTTGGGGGAAGTGATGATAATTCAGCCCTGCTGACACCATAATCCTTTGCAAGGTGCTCAGGGATCTGAGGAGCTAGAAATGGCCCGATGCCTACCCCAGTGCCCTGTTGTGGAATAACTATAACTCCTCAAGATCATGAACACTAGAAGTCACAATAAAGAGGCAAGAACCTTACCCTGTCACAGTAAACACTCTCCACCACCCGGATTTGTTAGGGTCCTATATTCAGAGCAGTTGACCCTCACATATAAAATCATAAAGCCCCTTTTAACAACTGCATGCCACTGTCTTACATCTGTGCCTAGGGATTATATTTACAGTTATTTGTCTAATACGTGTGAAAAATGCATGTGCCTGAAAAGATGAGTAGAAAAATAATTCATTAAATATTTATCAATCTAGGCTGGATGTGGCGGTGCACGGTTTTAATCCCAGCACTTGGGAGGCAGAGGCAGGCGGATCTCTGTGAGACTGAGGTCAGCCTGGTTTCCATAGTGAGTCCAGGCCAGCTGTGGACACCCTGTCTCAAAAAGACCAAAAAAAAAAAAAAAAAAGCAGCAATCTAGAAAGATAACATGACTGGTCCATGCAATAAGATAGGCAATCTCATAAACATATTATTGGAAAAGGAAGCCAGAACCAATGAATAGACACAGTAGTATGTTGCGTCCAAGAATAGGCCACCCTGAGCTGTGGTCACAGGAGCTGGATGTGGTTGCCTTGGTGGGGAGTGGGGGCCTGTGGAGTTTTGAGAGAATGCTATAGGATTGTTGAGTACTTTTACATGTCATTTTGAGTGATGTTTGTGGTTGTATATACTCAGTAAAACTCATTTAAAAAAGTCTGGACCGGGGAGATGATTCAGTACTTTAAAGCTCTTACCACTCAAGCTTAAGGACTAGAGTGGATTTCCAGGAACCATTTCCATTTAAATGCAGGGTGGGACTCGGTAACCTGCCTGTGATTCCAGCCTGGGAAGGCAGAGACAGAGGATCCCCAAGAGCAAGCTGGCTAGGAAACCTAGTCATATTGGCAAGGGTTTTTGTTGTTTTTAAAGATTTGTGTGTGTGTGTGTGTGTGTGTGTGTGTGTGTGTGTACCTGCGTGCTAGAGAGAGAGAGAGAGAGAGAGAGAGAGATCAGATCCCTTGGAACGGGAGCTGGAAGCTGTTGTGAGCCGCTGAATGTGGGTGCAGAGATTCTGTCAAGTCCTCTGATAGAACACTGAGCCATCGCTCCAGCTCTGGGTTTGACTGAGATAACCTGGCTCATGAATATGTTGGAAGTGCAATTGAGGATGATTCCCAACATCAACCTCCAGTCTCCACATGCCCAAGTATAACACACACACACACACACACACACACACACAAAAAGCCATACATGCACACCAAACACACAAAATGGAAAAAGGAAGAAAACAAACCAAAAACTGAAGAGCCAAGATTCATGGATTCACTTTCTATGTTCTTACTTAAGAAAACAATAGAGGAACCGGACAGTATCTCCTTCAGAGCTCCAGATGGCTGGCTGTGGCCCAGGGGGAAGAAGAGGGAAGGAAATGGGAAGACGGGCTGGCGGGAAACCGAACTGTCCTGACAGCCTTGGAAACCTGAATCCTTGTTTGACAGATAAACTAGAAACCATGAAAATTTCAGTGCAGAACCAAAACAGGTCAAGAGCTTTGACACCACAGGAAGGTGTTAGAAATTTGGGGGAAGTAGAGCCCCACAGAGGTCCTGTGGAAACGCTCTCTGGGAAGGCATTAACTCCCCATGGCAGCTCCACAGTAACTCAGGAGGACAGCTGGGGATACCTCTTGCCTTCCCTGTGAGAACTTCAGATAACTAAAGCTAGATACTTGTCTATTTACCTTTGTGTTGCTGTGACTAAATATTTTATTGGAGCTGCAAGAGAGAAATCACCCTTGTTTCGTGTTTGAGAGTTATCAGTCCATCACGGTGGGAAAGAGCTGAATCTCAGCTGCCAGAGTAGACAGCCAGATAGGTAACAGGACAGAGTGGGGGCCAGATATAGCCCCATGGCTTGTGTCTTGAGTGACTGACCTCTTCCAAATGCCCCACCTACCACTTTTCATCACACCACAATAATGTCATTGTGGATCAAGGAGTTAATCCACTGATTAGGTCAGAGCCTGCAGGATCTAATTATCTTTGGAAGGGCCGCAAACATTCCCAGAGGTGTGTCTCTTTTCCTAGGCATTTTAAATCCAACAGGTTGACCAGACTAACCATCAAGGTGTTATTCAGACTGCAGATCTCCAATGAAGAAAAATAAAAGGTTTCCAAAGTTGCTCAAGACAATAGCCTGGTTCACATGCTAAATTACATTCAAAGTCTCTCAGGACAATAGCCTGGTTCACATGCTAAATTACATACAAAGTCAAGTTAATAGCCTGGCTCACTTGTTAAAGTACATATTTAAACTGAATTTTTTTTTGACAGAATCTCATCTAACTTAGACTGGCCTTGAACTAACTATGTAGTTGAGGATGGCT